GTGACAGCCATCTGCTCATCCCGAAAGTTTATGTTCCCAATTGAGCAGGCTCTCCTGATGGCAAGAGCCTTTCACCAGCTACTAAAACACACCTGTGCATACACCCATCTCCATTAATTCTGAAAGTTATTGGAAACAGGCTTGGAGCACGTAGCATGGTAGGGGAGGAACAGGTTTAAATAGTCTGTCATCACACAGTCCTGACTCAAACAACTTATCCTTGCATGGCTGCTTTGCTAAAAGTACAAACTCTCCTGAATCCTGGTCACTTGCATCTGCTGAACGAAGTGAACTCGGAGGCTGCTGAGCACAGAGCTCGGTGTGTCAGTAGCACTGCAGTGACACCTCAGTGGCAGCCACCGTGCAGGCTGGCAGCTGGGCTCCGGGGGCAGACACTTGCAATACTCAGGAGGAAAGGTGTGCTCCAACAGGTGGACTACTACTGAGCAATCAAACACTCAACTGCTCACTCATTTAGGTCTGTAAGTTCCCCGATAGATGGTCTGTAATGAAGAACGGTGGATATTCTGCTAAGCTTAGTAACAGTGGTAATGCTCTGGTGCACACTTTCTGCTTAGACTGAATTTACATCATGAGGCCTAGAAATAATGCAAAGTTTCGTGCATATTGCCTAAAATGAATGAGGAAAATGGAATAAAAGGAGAGACTGTAAGTCAAAAGACTGTATTTCAAAAGAAAAGTGTGTCTACAAATCTTTGGTGAGAGTTGTTACAAATCAATGCACAGGATATATGTGTGATAAAAACATTTGCTCCAAGTAAATGTGTGTTCTATTTACTGGCCTCAATTAAAAGGGTTAATAAGTTAAGTGGGGTTTTCATAATACTTTTCAGCAGTTGCTTAAGCATTTATATACCAGCAGATGGACAACACATTTATTAAACATTTGGTCTTTGAGTCATGCTGACGTTAGTATCTCAAACATCATTAATTCAGGCAGCAGCTTTTTGTAATGGCCTCATTCTCTGACTGGTGCATAGTTGTAACTTCACATAGGAGTCAAGGAAACTTCTCAGATATAAAGAAAATCTGACCAGAAGCCCACAGGGTGCTCCAGTGTAACTGTGCACATTTAAAATAACTAGAGGGTGCCAGGCTGCTGCAGAGGAAACAGTGGTCTAGATATGATTTGTATCTCATCAAACCACCTGTGGTCCCACAGCCCTGGATGGCTGCAGGGAATGGAGGTGCTGGGAGCAAACAGAGTACACTGGGAGCGAAGACACTTGACACCTGCAGACTGGCTATCACAGCAGCAGTTCCTTGCTTTGCAGGTGCAAGGAGACTAACAGTAAAAATGATGTTCAGGTGCTACAGGGCCACTGAATTGCAATTTAAGAAATGTGCAGGAATCTAAAGCAGGGGGCAGAATTAAACATGCAGGGAAATAGTTCAAATGAATGTGTGCAGGATGCTGTGCTTCTGTATGTAGAGAAGCATGTTAAAAATTGAATGGGAAGGCATGAAAACATTAATCCATAGACTAGACTGAGGAGAAGGCACAGACAGAAGGGAGGAAAGAGAAAAGAGCAGGGAAATTGCCGACTATGTACAGAAAATAATATGCATTTGCTTTCCAGTAAAAGTAAAGAAAAAGTTTGTGCAACAGCCTTGCTGTACTGACCCCTGCAGCCCATCCTACTCAAGAAAACTGGAAATGCTTTTTTATATATATTAAGAAATGACTAACAATTCTGCAGTCTCTGGATATAGAGAATGAGGTGCTTAAGGAAGTCAAATAAAATATGTTTTTATTATGGTTAGTGACAAATACATTTTTAATCCTTTATCTGTTTAAAATCAGTCTTCTATGTTTGTTTTCCTGCTTCCTTGTTTTCCACATCAGGATAAATAGAATTAGACTGGAAGTTTATTCCATGCAGTGCCTTTCAGAATAAGTGCTTTGAAAAGAAAGTTTTCACAAACAGGTCGTTAGTGGAAGGAAAGAAAATCCATCCAGAGCTATTTCCAAACTGCCCTGTAAGTTTTCGCTTGTGCATTGTGCTTTTTGTAGCTGACTGGAAAACATTTCTACAGATACTGCTACAGAAATATTAACAGAGCCTCATTAAATAGATGAATTATGCAGCAGTCCTAGCAAGCACAGAAGCTAACAATTACAGGAAGTTTCACCCAACAGTTAACGGAGACACTAATACTATTTAGAGAAACAATCACCTCATTTATTTTTACTTGTACTATGCAAAGAGAAATTAATTTATGTCATGTCCCAAACCAACTGCAGACTCCCAATAGCTCCCCACAGACTGAGGGTATTTCCCAGCTCCTGAGGCAGCTTCTTGGACGACTGCACAGCATGTTCTGGACTTGCACTACACTCCTTAACCCTGGTGAGTTTACTGGACTGAGCAGTGAGTTCACATGCCACCAGGGAAGACTCTTATCAGATATCCAGCACCTATAACTAAGCACTATACAGCACCTGATAAAATAAACCAATTTTTTTCTGCAAGCACCAATTTATTCAGCTCTTTTCTGAGCAGATGGCACAGCTTTGACAGCCTAGTCCAAAATCAGTACGAAGAACAACTTCCAAAACAGATAAAAATGAACAAATAATCTTGCAGTCCAAAGAAATACAGTTCACTACAAGACCTCTGTGCAATAAAACTGTGAACAGAGTGAAAAAAAATTTAAGTCAGGAGCAAACAAAACTGTTGACAAACAGTACTGAAGCATAAATCACAGTCTCTGTCATTTATTCACCACATTTACCGTTCATGTCTTTACTGAGATAGGCAAGAGACAGAGAAACTTATGATAGGTGCTTTCATGATAAAGTCATCACTTCCTTTGTAGTTTATCTCCTATACACACTAAAATATTTACAGCAAAAGTACTTCCCATATCAATCCCTTAAAAAAATCTCTATACAAATGCAAAATAGCTAGATCCTTTCCTGGAAACAAGTTCCAAATTCAAGCATTCCTCTACAGATTTCATCTGTAGCAGCAGTATGCCATATAGGCTTGTACACAGAAAAAAAAATACCAAAATGGCACATAGGCATAATTATTTGATAGTGCAAGTACTCACATTCTCGAGTTTACCAAAGCAAACCACTGCTTCTTAGTCACTTCATACTTGAATGAAGCTGAACCTGTGGTTAGACTTGCCAAAATATTCAAGTAACATAAATGCAGCTTAGTAGTCCCTAACAAGTCTTTCTAGTTCTTTTTCCTGCTGCTGATTGATTCAGAGGGTGCAGAAAACACCACCCCTGAAGTCTGTCTTTCCACTCCTGGAGCTCCATGCAATTAAGAAACTCGCTTCAATACCTCCAACGCCCAGATCAGCTCCTGCTCATCCAAAGGCCTTCTCTCCCAGGCAGCACAGCAGCACAACAAATCACAGCTATCTGCCGCCCAATAGCCCGTCTATTACGAACTGCTGAGGATTTGAGACACAGGCGTACATAGCTGCATGTCAGAACACCGGCCTCAAGGGTTTGCAAAGCCAACAAGTCCTGACAGTATCTGCAAAATGTTGTCCAATTTAGTTCTGAATTAAATACTTGTAATTTATTACAGCGTCTTTCTGCAAATAAGGGAACAAACAGCTTTATCCTGAAAGAAACCTTGTTTGCATAACAATTCTGAAACTAAAACTTCATCTTGCATTAACACATCCCCCAGTACAAGTTTTAGACATACACAGCAGCCCACCAACTTTTCAATAGACAATTCTACTGCAAGGAGAAAACAAAAATCAGTAAAGCAATCAGTAACACTCCATGCACAATTTTTCTTTCCTTGTAAGCAGAGGAAATTTTTCTGCATGACTTAAGTTAAAGGCATATTACGAATCGAAGTCAAGTTACATGGGGGGTTTAGGCAGCAAACAGCTACAGTTAAGTCACACAGCAGAGGTTTTGCAGTCTACCTTTTCAAAAGGATTATTGAAGGTTATAAAAGGATATGCTTCCTACCTTAAAGAATATACTTCTAATTATATAAAAAGGGGGTGGGGGAAGGGAATTGAAATATCTTACTTCAGTCTCAAGATTTAACAACATCGGTAAATTTAACTTTAAATCATCAACAGATAATAGTAATTCCACAGACTTAATTCAACTTTCACTAGCTTTTTAAAAGACTTCTTGTTTTCCATAAACTGAACATAATGGCACTCCATATTTCCAATATCCTGCACACAAAATGTTTTAATCTCATGCTCTAATTAGAATAATTCTACAGTGAGCACAGTGAGCAGCCCACAAGCTCCTGCTATGCACTTGAAATTTTCCATGTAATCCTACTGTAGCAGCCTCAGCTTTAGTGGGCTAAAACTATGTTTGTGCAGTGATCAGAAGAGGAAAATATTGACATAACCGCAGGAGGAACACTGCTGCTGTGCTGTTATCAGTTGTTCTGCAGTTTCTGCCCCCTCTTGACCTGCCAGCCCTCCTCAGCAACCTTTGAACATGCCAAGTAATCCATTTCACAGAGTATCACACAACCAAAAAAGGCAGTTTGGGAACTTCGTAAAAATAACAAAAAAGTGAAACACCTCTTTAGGATATTGCTTGAGAAATGTTTTTTATGGTTTGTGGAGAAGCAAGCAACAAATATTAGACTGACCAGTAAGTATGACCAGGAAAGGCTGGGGATTTGATGCATTAAGAGCTGGTTAATCTCACCAATTATTACAGAGTCAGCATAGCAGCCACATGATTCTGCAGCAAAGCCCTAGGCCTCTCAGAGTCTGGAGTAAGCCCCTGGAGGTCCTTGAGAGCAGAGTATACTGCATGCTGAATGACTGAGTGCCAGCCCTTAAGTCTTCCCAAACTACTTTGCACACTATAAATATTTAAAAGATTATTGGGGTGGGGGATACGGGGGAACAGGTGGAACTGTTTTTCAGTATTTAAACTGCCATTACTTCCTTTTCCTGCTTGCACAATATAAGATTTTTTAAAATTAATGATCCAAAGGGGGAAAGAGTTCCCGTTTAGTTACCTGTAGCACTGCTGTTAGTATTTGCTGGATAGGCCATGTTTGCTCAGTGACACATCCACAGCTAAGCTGTTTGGTGTCATGCAAATGCCATGCATCAAGTCCAACCAGACATGCAACCTGGAACAAACAAGTAAAAAGCAGTTAAAAACATGTAGTTTTAAGAAGTTAGGTACATTAAGCAGTAAGCATTTCTGAGTGTTTAAAGTATCATCTTCAATGCAAACTTCAGCACAGCAGTAACATGCTCCTCTTAAATCAGCATCCTAGCTATCACAAACCCCAAAGGTGATGAAGCTGAACTGTGGCTCTCTGACAACCTCCCGATCTGTAGTCAGTGAGGATGCATCTACAACTACCTGAATCTGCAATTGGCCTTGTTTTTTCTGGCCTGCCCTCAACTTTTTTGCAGCTGGTCTCTAAATTCGCATGTACCACTGCAGATCCCTCACATTTGCTGGCATGTGTATAAAGTTTTAGATTACCCAACATCTTACGAAGGCAGGGTTGGAGGATTTTTTAGGTGAAGAGCACCTACAGAAGCACTGTACCAGTGAGCAGGGGACCAGTGGCAATTTCTGAGCTCAGATGTCCCCATCTGAGAGGTGAAGGCAGAACCCTCAGATGCAGCCAGAGCAGGCATCTCTGCCTGACAAACCTAGACCCCAGCAGCTACTGCATGGAAGCTGGCAGGGTGGGGGGACAGAGGTGGCACGGATGCTGTCAGGAATGGTGCTCATCTGACTACAAGACCTCTCCACTGCAAATTCCAGCAGCAACGGGTTCTCTGGGTGTTACGATTTCTTTCCAACCCACACATGGCAGATTGAATCAATAAGCAGCACTTGCCTGAAGCTCAGGCTGCAGGTACAGAAAAAGGGCACTGTCCTCCTGGGAGGATGCTGGATGGCTGCCAAATGAGAGGCAGAGGTCAAACCAGCAGCAGTTCTGTGGCTAGCTGGCTGTCTCTGCAAAACCAGAATTGTTGGCTCTGCAGCAGAGCTCCTGCTCCTCCTTCTCTGCCCACCTTCCGTGCAGGGGGCAGCCTGATCACAACTCATCTTCAGAGCAGATCTGACTCATCTGGGGCTGCAGAGATGCCTCTTCTTGAGTCTGCTTTGAGTTTTCTACAGTCCAAACAACATTTCATTTCGTTGACTCAGACAGGTGGAGCTTAGGTGTATGATGAACACCCTGCTTTGCTGACCCCCATCTGATTTGGGCTGACAACTCCTCAACAAACTAGTCACATTTTTCCAATTATATTTGATTTAGCTCTGACAGTATGTGCAGGGAAGTATTTAAAAGCTAAGCAGATTAGCAAAGTAAAAGAAAACCAAGAAATTA